ACATTGTAATTATTTATATTATTATTTAAATTTATTTAACTTTCCTTTTCTTTACTTAGTTCACTTCTTTGTCGATTTTTACATTACCTTCATTTCCCAATCTTTTTTTTTTTCTTTTTTTAGGTCACCTTTTTTTCTTTTAAAAAAAGTGTTAGCCCTGGTACCAGGTTGTCCTCACTTCATACTCCAAAGAACTGCCATTTCTCTGTGTTACTGGACATGAGCTGGTATGTTGGAAACTCTGAATATGATCTGCAAAGAAATTCCTCTTTCCACCCACCTTCCCCTGCTGAAAGGTGGCTGTGGAAAACATTTCTGTTTTTTTCTAAAGGAAGACCAATGCTCATAAAACCAACTCTTGCTAAAGTCTTGCAAGCACATAGGTATTAAGGCAGGGTGTATTCAGGACTAATAGTTTGATATGTGTAGAGCAACCAACAATGGAATTTGCAGACCAAGAAATAGAGGATAATGGTGTTTGCTGAAATCCACAGTTCAGCTACATCTGCATTTTTCAGCGATAGCAAGTTATCTATTCATTCTCTTACCCAGGTGTCTACAGGAAGAAAGTTACTTGCAGTATGTTTGTAAAAAGGAAGAAAAACATTTGTATATTGTTTCATTAATGACTTGCTTTCAACTGCTGGTGAGTCTAACACGGAGTGTGTTCCAGCAGCATATGCAGTTGTAGCGGTTGCAGTGGTAGCCAGACCCCTGTCTGAAAGAAAAAAATCCTGCCCCTCCTCAGCTGGTCAAAGGGGAAATCTCTGTCCCTGGTTGCCAGCTGCAAACCGGAGAGCAGAGTGGAGACTGGGAAAGCCTCACAGTTTCAATTTCCTTTAGCAGCAGCTAAACACATGGTCTCGGTTAATGTTTGTGGTCCCCCTCCCTGCCAAGTCCACGGAGCTCTTCCTCTTCCCAGCAAATCACACCTCTGCCCTTTGGGAACTGGGTGCAAGTGGCCTTTCTTTAGGGTTTTTTTTTTTTGCTATCCCGCCAATAACACCATTACAACTTCAGTTACTGGTGATCAGACTTTAGGGAGAGTAAAGAAACCTCACTGACAAACAAGAATGACAAGTTTCTTTGTGTACAAAGCAACGTCTCTGGATGAAGAGCAGCCGGGGAGCACCCACAACAGATACTGTATATGTATCTCTCCATCTGTGTCCTGCTGCGCTTGCAGCACTGATAGTGGCACTCAGTGCACCCTTAAACAGCCTGGCTCTGTGTGCAGAGTCTGGATAAGACAGGTCTGATAAAGACGGGAGGTTTGCTGGCCATCAGAGTGGCATTCCCAGGGTAGCATCCCTTCAAGGCCAGGTTTAGTGACTCAGGAATCTGGCAAATTATTGAGTCCCAGCCCAAATGTCCATCATCTGGCTGCAGTGTGTTCAGTGAAGCCACGTTTATTTGCATGGACCGGTGAGCTGGCGGTGTGCAGGGATGTCAGGTGCCACTGAGGGTGTCAGGAGGCAGTTTGGCTCTCTGCTTTGCAGATTGAATTTATGTCCCCAGGCAGCCTTGTAACAGAGTACGGATGACCTCCTTCTGACATCTTCCACATAGACAACACAGTTTCTCATCTGCATCCTTTGCTTGCAGTCAGGGTCATGGTCCCTTCATGAAGGATTTTGGCTATGCCTAAACTGCAGAACCAAGAGCACTTGACATCTCCTGCATCCCCATCTTGACTCTCTCAAGAAGAGACCTTGGCTCATAGCATTTTTCCTCTATCTCCTTGGAAGGCAAACAAGGATGCATAGGAGGAAGTGAGACACTTTAACCTCATAAAACCTTTCATAAAGTCAGCGTGCAGTTGTCTTCAACTAGGTACAGCTGTCCCATGCAATATCTTGATGGCCACCTGGCTGCAATTGCTTTGCAGGGCCGATTGTGTATTTAAGGATGCGTCCTCAAGTGCACAGGGTTCAAGATGCTCAAGTATCAGCTCTTTCTTTAAATGCTGATGTGCAGTCAGGAGAAGCAGCGTTCTCCTGGAATCAATACGTGCCTGTCATTATTTCCCCAGTGCATGGGGCTGTGACTTCTGTTCAGCCAGGCACCCTGCAGAGGTGGTGTCCTGGCTGGAGAGAGCTGAACTGCAGCAGCCAGGAGAAAAACAAGGCAGCCGTCTTGCCACTTATACGGACTTTGAATGTCTAGCAGTATGTAGCTGCAGTTCATGTCAGGGCAGTGACAGCAGGCAGAGAGCCTGCAGGCTCTGTGGGTGCAGAGGTGGCACCGTGTGTGCGTCTGCAGGAGCTCCCCATCACAGCATCTGTCTGCAGCCTGGACAGCCCTGGTACTGCTGTGCTGCCCCGTGGTTTTAGGATGCAGGTGATTTATGAGGGGAAGGTGGGACTTTAGCTTCTAAAGTCCATCTCAGAGGCCTTTCCTGCACAGGTCTCTTGTGTCACACAACAGAACAGAGTGATAATGGCTTTTACTTTGTTCATTTTTTTCTTCTGGAGGATATTTGGGTCACATGCTCTCCCTTGTGCTGCCCGGTACCTGCATCAGTCCTCACTGTCCACCCAAGGAAAGGGGAAAAGGGAACATGAGCAGCTCCACCAAGACTTCTCCACCTTTGAGTCTGCAGGGGCTGCCCAGGAGCCTGCTGAATTTGGAGACCAGAGGCTAGAGCACTGGTGATGCTAATAATAATGGTAATTAAAGTCTTTTAAAATACTTTTTTTTCCTAGATTCATTGAAGGAAACAAAATTGAAACCATTTCAAGAAATGCATTTCGTGGCCTTCGAGACCTGACTCACCTGTAAGTTATTTAACATTTGGTACAGTAATTTGTACTTGGACAAAACTCTTCTGGGGGACTGCTGGTTTTCTTGCCAAATAGAAAACCTCCCTTCCCCTCTGTGCATCAGCTTCCTCCCACTGTCAGCAACATGCCTTTCACAAAGAAAAAATGGTCTTTAAAAATTTCTTGCTCAGTCAGCACTGGAGTATGTTGAGCTGCCTGTGCACACTCACAGCTCATGCTGGGGTGCGGCTGTGACCCATGGATGCTGCCACTGGTACCACCGTAATACTACCTACTTGTGATTAACATTCCTGTTAAATAAAAAGCTTTATGTATTTTATTTACATCAGCTTCATCAAGCAATTGCCATTCTTGAATCAGAATAATTAACATGTGCCTGTTCCTAGTAGTTAAGAACAATGCCAGTGGCTGGACAGTGTCAAATAATTAACATTAAGTGAGCTCAGACTGAGTAAGAGTCAGCCAGACAAGAGACAGCTAGGATACTAAACTCTAACTTTTTTTTCTAGTTCTTTGGCCAATAACCATCTCAAAGCTCTGCCAAGGGATGTCTTCAGTGATTTAGATTCTTTAATTGAACTGTAAGTAATGATAATCTTTCTGATGTAAAGAATCTTTCATATTCCTGCTTCTGTCATTCTGTTACTCTGAGTTTTAAGTTCTGGGTTTGTGTGGTGCTGTATCTGATCGCTGCACAGAAAAGAAATTGCATTTTGTTGTTCCAGCTTTTCTCATTTTAAAATTGTTTGTTTGGTAGACTTCTCTAAAATAACTGCTATTTCTCAAATCACTGTTGCTTTTAGTGATGCTGTACATAGCTTGCATTATTGTACTTCTTTCCAATGTTTCATATAAATTGGTTTTTAGGGAAAGGCATACAATGAATTTTAAAACTATGACTTCTCTGAACATTTTTTCCTGATATTTTTGCATGTATTCCCTGAGATTATTTTAGTAAAAGGCATTAATTAAAAAAAAAAAAGCTTTTTTCTTGTTTTTGTGCAGTGGTAGCACATTGCTGGCTTACTGTCAGTGTTTTCTTGTATAACTGAGCTGCTAGTCAACTTCCCTTATTTTCGTCCTGGCTATCCCAAACAAGTGTCATTGCAAGCCAAAAAAATTACCAAGGGTTTGAAGAACAGTTACAGCGTTGAAATTGCACATACATTAGTAGAGGGAGGTTAAATTGAGTCCACATCAGCAGCAACTCTAAAAATACAAGCCTTATGTCTGTGTTTTAATGTAACAGATAAGTGACACCAGCAAGACCACCCTGTCGACCAGCGGTGCTGGAGTAATTTAGTGAAGGAATGGGATTTATCTGTGTCAGCGGAAGATGGTGGGAAGGGGGCTTGCAGCAGGCGACCAGATTGTCAGGATTTATTATGTTACAATCCTAATCCTATGAAAACTTATAAACATGAATGACCTTACACGTGAATCACAGGGCTCTATTAGTACGATTATACATGAGCATATTTCCTAGATTGAAACAGTTTTTCCAAGGACAACACTCAGTGAAGGAGAGTCCATAGTAAGAGAGTCCAAATAAAACTCAAGTAACGTCCCTGTTCGCAGTTCAAAACAATTCAAGGCTACTCAGATATTTTTAAATTCAGCATGTCAAGGTGATAACATTCTGTAGTATTCATATTGCTATCAACCTTTTCAAATATGTTTATTTCTGTGTGTTTTTTAGAGATTTAAGGGGAAATAAATTTGAGTGTGACTGCAAAGCCAAGTGGCTGTTTTTGTGGTTAAAGATGACAAATTCCACTGTTTCTGATGTCCTGTGTATTGGTCCAGCAGAATATCAGGATAAGAAGTTAAATGATGTGACAAGTTTTGATTATGAATGCACCACTACAGGTATTCAGAATGTCTATTTCTAAGCACACTACAAATGGGTAAATATCAGAAGTTTAGACAGTACCCTTTTGCTTCTGTGAGCATGACCTGGGGGGAGGAAAGGGTTACATACAAAGCACTTCTGAGTACTAGAACAAGCATAAAATGGGAAAATTACATTTTGAAGCCAAAGTAAGTACCGAGTTTTTTATTTGGATTAAGTGATAATGGGAGAAGAGCTGTGACTATTCATACTCCAAAAGACTTGATTATGACTCACTTTGTGACTTAATTTTCATCACAGAATGCTTTCTATTATCTGGAATAAAGCCATATAGTTATGGCAGATGAGCTTCCCAAAATCTCTGTATTTCACAGAAAGCAATGAAAAGAAGTTCAAATAATGTGGCTATATCTGTTATCTTTATTCAATAGGCCACAATTTAATAGCATCAAATGTGGCAGCAATACCGCCAGCAGTTCTTTATGGAACTCCATTAAGTTGGAGAGAAATGTCCAATAATATTCTGACTACTGTCTTGTTTAGGATCTTGATTTTTATTTAAGGTAATGTAAAGCATGCTGAAGGAAGTGGAGAGAAACTTGCATGTGGTTATGCTTATATTTTATGACCAAACAGTTGCAGTTACCTATCTTTAAATTTAGTCACATCATATAACTGAGAATATCAGCTGCGAGTATTGTTTTTTATCTTTCATGTCTATGATGTCAGCACTCTGCCTTTGTTCTATACAGTAATATCAGAGGCGTTTGATTTCTCATCTGTCATCGTCAGCCATCATCATTAAGACACAATAGAAAAATTGATGACTAGTAATGTAAAATACAGTTTCAGGACAAAGTATGAAAGGTGATCCAAGGGCAATATGTAAAGGTAAAGGGAATGAACTCAGAATTCAAA